AAGAAGAAAAATAGCAATCTATTATGGACTAGTATTAGAAAAGGATGACAAAGTCATAAATGCAAATGCAAAAATAGTCCCCAAAAGTTCAAGGAAATATCAACATAGAATGGCGGTCATGCCTTTTTGAAGGCTGGCAGAAAGTAGGGCAGGGTGGTACCTTAGAAAGTAACTAGTTCAGAGAGGTGTGAGCTAGGATAGGCAACAACCTACCTCATCACGGAACGTTAAAGTATTGAGCCTCTCTCTGAACTAGCTACTTTCTAAGACACCTCCCTTTTTTATCTGCTTGCTTGACTTCAGACAAATACAAATAACCAGCTCAGAAGCCAGGGAAAATGCCAGGAAAAATCAGCCTTTTCGTTTCAAAATGTAGTAGGTGAATCCTGGGAGAAAGAGTTAAGTGATGGCAGAACTTCAGGACTACTGCAAGACCAAATGCACTGAAACAATTAAAAATACACTTATGCTTACTAAGCTTAGAAAATACCGGCTTATCTTTGCACAACAGCACATTACCAGGGCTGAAGCCAATGCTAATATCAAGGAATATTGGCCATGCACATAAGAAGGATAAGTATTTTGCTACAACTGAGCTATGACCCAAGAAAGAAAAAAAATCCCACTTGAACACAGAACCCTCAGAGACTGCATGAATGCCTTTGCAAATTACCTAAAGAGTGCTATTCTGCCTCATGCCCCTGGATACATTTTCTAGAATGACAGTTCTCTGAAGATACTGCCTTTCCATTTCTTTCACCAATAGGAAATATAACTCTCCAATTTCAACTTGAAAATGATAAAGCAAGCATGCATCAACCAACAAACAGATTCTGACCAAAACAACTGTGGACAAAGTCAGTAATGCAATGAATGCACTACCAAATAGCCAGTAATAATAATAATAACAACACTTTGCTCTTTGTAATAGGAACCAAAGGCTCCTTTTACTAAAGACGGGAAAAACATGGCAGGCTAGCCTACTGTGTAGGCAGGCAGGCAGCTGAGGCAGGGGCAGCACACAGCAAACCTAAGCTGCAACAGAGAAGAGCAAGCTGCCTATTAGACCTAAAAGGGACCACTTGTGCAGGCTAGTGAGCCACTTGACTCTGATAAGGCAGTGCTCCAGGGTAGATAGGCTGAACACCTGGGGAGTGGGAAAGAGGGAGGACTGGTGCCTTGCATGAAGTCAAGCTCTCCAAGAAGAGCAGTTGCACCAGAAGCCCTTGAGAAGTGCTGAAGCATCCTGAAAGCAGAGAAGTGAGAGCCCCAGATAAGTGATACTCATCTGTTTACTCAGAAGGAGGAAAGTTTTTGTTAAGGCAGTCGTTTTCCTGCCTTTATGTTCTTATGCCCGTGAACCAGGTGTGGCTAAAAGGGTTGAAGAGAAGCTACAGGATACAGGAAGCTTTGAGCCCTGCCAGGGGCCAGGCACAAGACAAACAGGTGGAAGCCAAGAAGGAAAAAGCCTGGACTAGGAGAGGGAAGCAACGCAGAGATGGCCTGAGGCCTCGAGGGCCAGAGCCTGGGAAGGGCGAGAGCAGGAGACCAGGGCTGGGGCCCAGAAGCTGGAGTGCAGGACAGTGGACCTTGGGCTAAAGCGCCAAGCTAGAGAAAAGGGGCCAAAGCTGGGTAGGCCAAAGTTCCAATGAAGGCTTTGAGGCCCAATAAACCAAACACTGCATTAGTGATGAGTTAGATTCATAGATTGTAGAGTCGGAAGGGATCACAAAGGATCATCATGTCTGACCCCCTGCCCCTGGCAGGAAAGAGGACTGAGGTCAGATGACCCCAGCCAGGTGACTATCAAACCTCCTCTTGAAGACATCCAAGTTAGGTGATAGTACTACCTCTCTTGGAAGCCCATTCCAGATTCTGGCCACCTTTACTGTAAAAAACATCTTCCTAAAGTCTAACCTAAATCTACTCTGCAGTAGTCTGCACCCATTATTCCTAGTCACTCCCTGGGGTGCTCTGGTAAATAGCGCATCACCAATTCCCTGTTGTCCTCCCTTGATAAACTTATAGATGGCTACAAGGTCTCCCCTCAGATGTTTCTTGTGAAGGCTGAAGAGATCCAGATCCCTCAACCTCCCCTCATAGGGTCTTTCATGGAGGCCACTAATCATGTGAGTGGCCCTCCTCTGAGCCCTCTCCTAATTCTCTATGTCCCTCTTGAAGTGCGGCACCCAAAACTGGGCACAGTACTCCAACTGTGGCCTGACCAGTGCCGCACAGAGGGGGGACATCACCTCCCTTGATCTGTTGGTCATGCATCTGCTAATGCATGACAAGGTGCGATTGGCTTTGTTGATGGCCTTGTTACACTGCTGGCTTATGTTCATCTTGGAGTCAACTATGACTCCAAGATCCCTCTCAGCCTCTGAGCTGCTGAGGTCATCCCCCAACCTATAGGTGTGCTGGGGATTCCTCCTTCCTAGGTGGAGTACCTTGCATTTATCTTTGTTGAATTGCATCCTATTTTGTTCCGCCCATTGATCCAACCTGTCCAGGTCGGCCTGTATCTGCTCCCTGCCCTCCGGTGTGTTAACTTTGCCATATAACTTGGTATCATCTGTGAACTTGGAGAGGGTGCTCTCCACACCCTTGTCCAAATCGCTAAACAAGGTATTAAATAACACCGGTCCAAGGACCGAACCCTGCGGGACCTCACTGCACACCTCCTTCAAAGCCGAGAAAGACCCATTCACCATCTCTGGGTGTGGTCCCTAAGCCTGCTGGCCACCCACCTGACTGTTTAGGCATCCACTCCAAAACCATGCTAGCTTCCCTATGAGAATAGGATGCGAAACTGTGACAAACACCTTCCTAAACCGTGTCACTAAGATCTCATCTTCTAATTTAAAGGAAATCATAACAATGGTTGTGAAAATTGTCAACTTTTTGATTGCCCACTCCTTTGACCCACAAGAGATTCCGTGAACTTTTAAATGGTATGGATTCTGCATATAGAGATTCGGTGCTGCACAGTAATGTACGCTGAGTCGAGATAACATGCTTAAGTGATTTGTTGCTTGTCTCAATTCCATCAAGTTATTTCTTGAGGAAAGTGGTCAGCAATATACAGACCTTACTGATGACAGATAGCTAACAAAACGGATGTTTCTGACAGATATCTCATCACATTTAAACAATTTAAATACTAGATTGTGAGGAACACAGAAAACAATCCTTTGAGCTGTATGAAAACTGGAAAGCTTTCTGTAATAAGCTGTCTGTTTCCAGATGAGATATCAAAACGTCTGTCTTCCATTACTTCCCGAGTCTGAAAATTCATTCTGAGCAGCATCAATTGAACAATAGGGATCTATGTAACTATATAGGACAGATGGAAGATGAATTCACAAGACAGTCCCAAGATTTTTTCAACAGAAGACCCATGTTTTTGTTTCTTGTAAACCCTGACAGTACTAGGAAAAGTGATACAGAACTGCAGTACTTTCAGTGGATGAGCACTGAAGGATTTGAATGGGAACTGATTGACTTTCAAAGCTCATGCATCTGTGTGTTGAAGTTCAAATCACTGTGAGGTGAACTTGTGAATGAAAGGGACTGGCAACTCAAGATTACAGCATGTTGGTCTTTCCTTCCTGAAAAGTATGCCTGCATGAAAAAAAGTAGCTTGTGCCCTGTTGTCTGTCTTTGGATCCACTTATCACTGTGAACAAATGTTTTCACAAATGAAATACTCAGTGTGGCCGTCTGGGGGTAACTAACGAAATCTCTCTCCCTGGGGCTCGCTTGCCGTGCCTTGATGTGATGAAAGAGTAAGAAGTTAATTCCCCAATGAGAGAGGGTGTAGTAAATCACTCCAGAAGCAGGATAAAAATAAATTGGTTTATTAGTGAATTCCCAGCAGGTTGTGGATAACCCCTGCTGTTCTCATAGCATGCGGTCTTCCTTCACCCTCCACTACCGTGCAACCCACTCCCCTGAGTCTGTCAGCTTGCCTCCAGTCTCACTCTCTTTCCTTCCCTCACAGGTGTCAGCAGATTCTTCCTGTGTGGGACCTTCTCTCCCCCTGAGGATCAATCTAGTAAGTATCCCCCCCCCCCCCCCCTTTTTCTCCCCCCC